TGATCGTCTTTTTTTTCAGTACCATCCCAAGTTCTGCGTTTATTGTCTCTGAAAATTACCGCTCCACCCCTCTACACAAAAAGTTTCACTTTGATTCTAACTAAGCAAATCTCCTTCTCACTTCTGCTATTCTCAGCTTTTTTGGTTAATTTGGTGATTTTTTTCTTGGCTCTGTACTTCAGTTGTCTGCGTATTGTTCGATTTGTCTCTGCTTTTTAATACTGAAAAAAAAATTTTTTTTTTTTAAAAGAGAGTAGAGAATGGCCGGTACTGAAGTTGGGATCGCGGTTGCTGGCAGAGTTGCAGAGAAGATGGTTGATCGAATTTTAAATCTAATCTGTATCCAAACAGCTCGCGTGTGCAGGTGGAAGGCTAAAATACTGAATCTGAAGACAAAAGTTGAGAAGCTGGCTGTTGAAAGAGGAAGCGTTCTGCAATTTATGGAAGCTGCTGAAAGAAGAGGGGAAGAGGTGGTACCGAACGTCAAGAATTGGCTGACTAGCACAGAAAAATACATTGGAGAAATGAAGGAGTTAGTAGATGAGATAGACACAGCAAAGATGAAGTGTTTTGCTGGGGTGTGTCCGAATCTCAAGGCACGTTACCAAATTAGCAAGAAAGTAGAGGAGTATTTGGAGGATGTTACTCAACTCCTAGAAGAAGCTCTTACATCCAACTTCCTGGTTGCTTACAATATTCCTCCTCCACAGAAGACTTCTACTGCACCTGTTAAAGGTTTTGAGGACTTTGGCTCAAGAATGTCCATTTTGGACCATATTATGGAGGCCTTGAAAGGTTCTGCTGTTGACAAGATAGGCGTGCACGGGATGCCTGGTGTGGGCAAGACCATGTTAGCCAAAGAAGTTGCCAGACGAGCCGAGGAAGCCCAATTATTTGATGAAATTGTAATTGCTTCTGTGATGAAGAATCCAGATTTGAAAAGAATTCAAGCAGAAATTGCAGACAAATTAGAACTACAGCTTCATGGGGAGACTGAATTTGGGAGGGCCAATCAACTAAAGGCATATCTGAAGAAAAAGAAGAAGATTCTTGTTATTTTGGATGATATCTGGACGAGGTTGGATTTGGATGAACTTGGAATTCCATATGAAGAAACAAAAAATGAGGCAAGTTCAAAGGGTGAAGAACAGATGCAATGTAAGATTCTTTTCACATCTAGATTTCTCAATGTCTTATCATGTGACGTGCATACTCATCAAAATTTCGAAGTTGGCCGATTACAAGATGATGAAGCATGGGAACTTTTGAAGAAGACAGTTGGCGATGAAATTTTAAAATCTGACTTGCGGCTTACAGCAACAGAGATTGCCAAGGAATGTGCTGGGCTCCCCCTTGCCATTCAAACTCTTGGCAAGGCTTTAAAAACTAAGGGATCTTATGAATGGAGGGATGCTCTGCGACAACTGAAAAAGCCCTCTCCAGAGAACTTCATGGGGATCTCTGCAAATGTTTATTCTGCAATTGAATTGAGTTACAAGCACTTAGAAGGAGAAGAACTCAAACAAACTTTCTTGCTTTGTAGTTTGCTCAAACAGAACACTTCTCTAGAAGACTTGCTGAAATATGGTATTGGGCTGGGCTTATTTCATAATATCAACACAACAGGAGAAGCGCGGGATAGAGTATTAACATTGGTTAGTAAACTAAAATCCTGTTCTTTGTTGCTTGATGGTTCTAGCAATATTAACTTTGGGTTGCATGACATTGTTCATGGTGTCGCAATATCAATAGCTTCGAGGGACCATCATGTGTTATCAGTAATAGATGATAACATACCCAGAGAGTGGTCAGATAGGGAGGGAATGGGAGATGTTGAATGGATTAGTTTGCAATATCCTAAAATTGATGAGCTCCCTAGTGAGTTAGAATGTCCAAAACTTACGCTCTTTTGTCTGTGTAGCAATGATCCTTCTATGAGAATTCCAGAAAATTTTTTTCAGGGAATGCCAAAGCTCAGAGTCTTGAGTTTCACTAAGATGAAATTCTCATCCTTCCCTTCATCAGTTTGCCTCCTGAAAAGCCTTCGTACATTATGTATGAATGAATGTGTTTTGGAAAACATAGTTATTATTGGAGAGCTTAAGAGTTTGGAGGTCCTTAGCCTTTCAGGATGTGATGTCGAAGAGCTACCGGTGGAAATTGGGCAGCTGACCCAGCTAAAGTTGTTAGATTTGAGTGATTGCATCAAACTCAAAGTGATTCCACCACATGTCTTAGCATGTTTGTCCAAACTAGAAGAGCTGCATTTGGGAAACAGCTTCAACAAATGGGATACCGGGGAACATGGAAATCAAAGAAATGCTAGCCTTGTTGAGTTGATGGATTTGCATAACCTGACTACTTTAGATGTGGGTGCATGTGATGTCCAACTTATTCCCGAAGGCTTATTCTCTAAAAGATTGGAAAGATACAAGATCTTCATTGGAGAGGTGTGGAACCACTGGAACAGTTCTTTCAAAAGCTCAAAAGTATTGAAGCTGGAGCTGATTACAAGCATTGGTTATGATCATTCAATTTACATGTTGTTGAAGAAAACAGAAGAATTACATGTGGAGGAATTGAAGGGTGTCAAGAATCTAGTTTATGAGTTAGATGCTGAAGGTTTTCAAGAACTGAAGTATCTGTTTGTCCAAAATGCTCCTGAGATTCAACATATTATTAACTCTATGGAGGGGTTTCCTTGCTGCAAGGCATTTCCCTTCTTAGAAGTTCTATTTCTTCGAAACCTGAATAGTTTGGTGAAGATATGTCAAGGCCAGCTTGAAGCAATGTCTTTTAGCCAATTAAGAATTATAACTATTGAATGTTGTAATCAGCTGAAGAATTTATTGCCGTTCTCAATAGCTAGACGGCTTCTCCAACTCGAAGAAATTAGAGTAACAGACTGTCGTTCCATATTAAAGATTGTTGAAGAGACAGAGCAAAGGGCCACGCATGATATTGCAGAAATAGATGAAAATTTGGAGCTCGCCAAACTACGATCATTGAAATTGCAATATTTGCCAAAGTTTATCAGATTGTGTCATGGAAATGAGGAAACAACGGAGTCAAGCTCCAGGGCAACACTTTTCAATAATAAGGTATTTATTTTTTATTTTATAAAATAGAGAAAAGTAAACATTAGAATATCCTTAAAATGTTAAGATTTGAAATTATTTAAATTTCTTTAATAAATATATATTGATTCATTAAAGCTATTTAAATAATTTTATAACGAGTTTTGGCGTTTTAATTGATAGGATGTCTTGATTTTTTGCAATTCATATAAATTATATATAAATAAATAAACACTGAATTAATGAATTAATTAAGGATATAGGCTCTTGTGGAGATAAATTAGTAGAGCTTTTTGTAAATTTTTTTTTTTTTTGAAAGTAGTCAAGAAACGAGTATTTTCTAGCAAATTAAAGATCAAGAAAAATTTTATAAAAATGAAAACAATGTCAAAATAATTGTATCTACATTCAAACTTAAGTCTTGATCTCCAATTGGATGGCTTTTTGAGGTAAATTCTGACAGAATTATGTAAAAATAATTTGCAGATTGTCTTTCCAAATCTTGAAGAGTTGCAATTGTCCTGGATCAACATCGGAAGTCTATGGGGCAGCCGCCATTTGACAAAATCATGTGGTATTCAGAGTCTGACAAAGTTGATTGTCGAGGGTTGTGATCAATTTGAACACATATTGTCATCCTCTATGGCCAAATGTCTGGTGCAACTTACATACCTTGCAATAAGAAAATGCAAGAGGATGAGAGAGATAATTGCAGCAGAGAATGCAGAAGACAAGGAAGATTTGATTTTGTTTCCCAAACTTAACATCCTGAATATGGTAGATCTGGAAAATCTTACGAGATTCTGCTCTGGGAATTATACAATTAAATTCACAACCTTGAAGGAATTGTTGATAAGAAACTGCCAAGAATTGAAAGGTTTCGTGGTTGATACAAGTACAAATGACAAAGATGGACCACAGGCACTCTTTAATGAAAAGGTATAATGTATAATTTTTTCTATTTTACTTGCATTTTGGCCTTAATTTTAGTAACTAATTATTCTGATGCCTAAATAATTACGCAGGTTGAGTTTCCCAACTTGGAAATTTTGAGGATATTTCACTTGGAGAAGTTGAGGAACATATGGCACCACCAATTCCAGGAAGATGATTTGTTTGCTGATTCATTCTGCAAACTAAAACTTTTGCACATAATATGTTGTGACAAATTACGGACCATTTTTCCATCTTATATGGTCGAAAGATTATTGAAATCTGTGGAGAAGCTGGAGGTATTCAATTGCCATAGCGTAGAAGAGATATTTGAACCTGGAGAGTTAAATGTGCGTGGTGAAGTAGACAGTCAGTTAAGAGAATTGCTTGTTTGGGATCTACCAAGACTGAAGCATTTGTGGACCCGCTGGGATGCCCATGGAATTTTCACTTTTCGGAACTTGAAATTTGTGCAAGCTGTGCGTTGCCTGAAACTCCAATATGTGTTTCCAACTTCCGTGGCTGTGGACCTTCAGCAACTTGAAGTGTTGTGGCTAATGGATTGCGGGATAGAGGAAGTTGTGGCGTTGGGAGAAGGAAATGAAGTAGTTTCTAGGTTTGTCTTTCGTTCTCTATCTAATCTTTGCCTGTGGGATCTGTGGAGACTCAAATATTTCTATCCACGGAAGCACGTTCTAGAGTGCCCCAGGCTAAAAAAATTCCGTACATGCAATTCTGGCGTAGCTAAAGAAACAAATGGGGAGAGCCCTGGCGAATATCCAGTTCAACTACCGCTTTTCTCCGTACAAAGGGTATGATCCTCTGTTTTTAACCTCTGTCGTTCTTTCTTTTTTCCCTTTTTTCCCCTTTCTTTTATCCCTCCTCACTCACTTTAAAATTAGAAATCAAACATCTCTAATTAGAGATGTTTGATTTCTAATTTCTAATTTCAAATTTTAATCACTTGCAATACCCCATCAAGGTTTTTTTTTTTCTTCTTTTTGGAGTCTTAGTATTATTAGTTGCTGTGATAAGTTAAAGCACTCATCAAAATATAAAAATTTAAAGCAAATGGCTAGATGGAGGAAATAATGACTAATGATATAAATGAAAAATAAGAGGTGATTCCATAAATATATATATATAATCTGTTCAATTTCTTAACAAAAAGAACAGTTAGTTGTATAAAAGAAAAGAACAGTTAATTATGAGTAGAAAATTTAGAGCAAAAGTAGTTTTTGAATTTTTTTAACATTTGCGACAAGCAATTATATGATGATGAATGTCATAAATCCATAACACAGTCAAACATTGAGGCCGCATCCTACCCTAAATGGGGCGGTTTCCAATTATTGTAGGAAGATCAGAGCTTCCCTTGCTTCTTTCCTTTCCACTCATTTCATTCAATCCAACAGGAGTACAATTTTGTTAATTCTTATGTTTTGCTGGTTTTGCTTCTAGGTTATTCCTAGGTTGGAGAAATTGTCATTAACAAGAAATGACATTGCAATGATATGTAATGGCCAATTTTCAAGAGACCAGCTTTTTTGCAATGTTCGAGTTCTTCATCTTCTTTGTTATCATGATGTATCTCTTGTTTTGCCAATCAACTTCCTTGAAAGTTTTTGCAAGCTGGAAAAGTTGAATGTGGTTTGTTCTGATTTTGAGAAGTTATTTCCTTCTGAAGGAAGAGCCGATGGTCAAGAGAAATTTGTGGGAACAAAATTACGTATTAAAATATTGAAGTTGGATGGACTTTGTAACCTGAAGCAAATATGTAACAAAGATTCAGCAGCTGTAGCTGGCCTATTTCTTCAAAATCTTGAAATTCTTAAAGTGTGGAAATGTCGTAGCTTGACTAGCTTATCAGCATCTACTTTAGCCTTCCACAATTTGGCCACTTTGGAGATATGGCAATGCCAAGGGATAACATCTTTGGTTTCATTCTCAGCAGCCCAAAGTCTAGTCCTACTCAAAACGATGAGCATAAGTGAGTGCCATTTGCTAACTGAAATAGTTGGAGATGAACAAGATAGAGAAGATTGGCCAAAAACAGAAGGAGATGGATTAGAAGGTGTGATTGTTTTTAGCAAACTAAAAGTTTTGAAACTCCTAAGCTTAACAAAACTCACAAGCTTTTGTTCAAGAAATTTCACCTTCAAGTTCCCATCTTTAGAACTCTTGGTTGTGACAAAATGTCCCAACTTGGAGACCTTCTGTCGGGGAGTCCTAAAGACTCCAATGCTGCAGAGAATACAATTACCACAGGCAAATGAAGATGAGGGACGTCCGGTGGTTGAGCTTAATAACACCATAAATCAATTGTACAAAGAAAAGGTATGAATTGAGCAATAAAATTAGCTCCTTATTGCTGAATATGTTATTTAATCATATATAATCAAATGTAAACTAAAAGCTATAGATTTTTTTTTTTAAAGAATTTATTTGTATTATTGTGTAACCAGCAATGTTTTGCATTTGGCAGGTTGGATACAATGAGTCTTAACATTTGAAAGTTGAAACTCTCAAAGTTTCTTGAGTTGATTGAAATATGACAGAAGAAACCTCAAGATATCTCAGATGGTTTTCGTATCTAGAACTTTGCAATTGTGATGACTTTCAGTACCTTTTAACTCCTTCCATGGTGTTGAATCTTTCTCCTCTAAAAAATATAATAGTGCAAAACTATGAAATGATGGAGACAAAATCATAACAAAAATGGGAGCTAACAGATGATATAGATGAAAGATGTTGGAAAGGTGACCTTAACCCCACGATGTAGTAGTTTTTCACTAAAATGGTATGCATTTACTCAAAATATAGTTCCTTATGTCTTTCATTTCTATTGGTGTGGTTGCTAGTATTTTACAGAAAAAAGAACAAAAAGAAATGGAGATGAAGACTTGCTCACTACTAGGAGCTCAATTTCTAGTTTTTCCTCACTAGTATTTCATTCATAACTGATTGTATATATTACATTACAAAATCAAGCAATCTAGTGCCAACAGTAGTACCTTGAGTGATGTTTCTTCTAACAACTCCACTTATTCCATCAAACACCATATATATACAAAATATCTAGAGATATGGTTTCTTGATTAATGGAACTATACTAATAAAAAAGACAACCAAGCATTGACTTAGAGTTACATTGCAAATGCCATTTTACATTTAAGCACAAACACTCTTCCTTGGCATTTGCATTTGTAACTCTAAGGATTTTTTTGAGTTCTTTGAAACTATAAGTTGTGAATCTTTGTTTGAATCTTGCACATACAAGATTGGTTCTTTGATGCTCTTTTTGACTCCTTAATGTGTCAAGTGGGCATTTATCCTACGATACCAGGCTCTTAGTGCCTATTTTAAGCTATAAAGATTCTCCTGCATTGCATGAGCCTACACTTTTGATTTTTTCTACTTCTTCAAAGCTTGAAGGTTCTATCACAGCCCTATTGCACTTTTCATAAATCTCATACGGGGATTTGGTTTTGAGGATAGGAGAATCATCATCTACTTCAGCAATTTTTAAACTTGAACCATGATCTATAGAGTTTATTGTTGTGTCTTTATCTTGCTTAGAAATTGAGCTGCTCATTAAGTTTTCATGTTTCCCAATTCCACAGAGCTTGTTCATCAAACTTGACATCTCTATGCACATTAATCTTTGTAGTTTGTATCCCTTTGATTGAGTTGCATAGCCAACAAAAATTCTAATATTGGGCTTTTTATTTGGTTTTCCTTGTTTGACACTTAGAATATGTGTATAACAAACTAAACCAAAATTTTTGAGATGATTTACAAATGGTTTTAACCCATACTAGGCTTCTATGGAAGTCTTTTCTTTGACTACCTTAGTAGGAAGACCATTGAGATGATAAGCAACTATATAAATAACTTCTACGTAGAATGACTTTGGCAAATTCGTCTCTAACAGCATGCATCTATCTATTTCCATCACTGTTCTGCTCCTTCTTTTTGACACTTCATTATGCACTAGAGTATAATTAATACTTAGTTGATGTTCAATACCAACATTTTCACAAAACTTGCTAAATTCTATGGTAGTGTACTCTTTGCCATTATGTAATCTTAGTCTTTTGATTTTACCTCCACTTTGGTTTTCCACCAAAGCCTTAAACTTTTTGAAACACTAAAACCTTGAGTTTTGTTGGTGAAGAAATAAACCCAAGTCATTCTTGTCAAATCATCAATGAACAGAATAAAATATCTATTTTGGCTACATGAAAGTAATCCTCATGGGACCAAAAATGTAAGTGTGCACCAAGTTTAGCTTCTCAGAATCCTTCTGAGCCTTTTTAACAAAAAAA